GAAACAAAATTTTGTTAGTCATAGAAAACAATCTTTGAAAGGTTGTATTTACTATACAGAAACATATACAAATTAGAATAGTTATAGTTTAACCCTTTATGGATTAAATTGTTTATAAAATCTATCCCATTAATAGTTAATAAAAGATAAATTAAAAGACATTTACAACACGAAAAAATCACAACATGTTACTGTTAAAAATGGTATAACAATGTACTTTAAACATACATTCCTAAAAATAGTATGATATGAAGTTATTATATTCGACAATAAAGTCAGAAACAATAGCCAAGTTGAGGTAATCAAACAAACATAAATAGTAGCAACAACCGATTTGATCCATTTTTAAATTAAATTACTGATTTACCCTTCTGATGAACATAGTCCATACTAAATTAATGATTTAGCCTTCGGATAGAAAATGGAAGTATCATGCTAAAAGAATCATTTTAGTATACGTGTCATCTCAATATCTATTGTTGAGTTGCTTTTCCATCCCAATGCTTTTATAGTTTCCTAAGTCGAATTACCTTTTTGCCCTTACGTTTCCTTACTTAAAGGTTTCATGCATCTAATTTGCTATCAAATTAAAATAAATCACATAAATTTAGGAGTTTATTGATACCTTCAAAAGGTAAATTCGAATCTTCCTTCTTTATTCTATCACAAATAAAATTACCTTTCTGCCCCTAAACCTTCAAATCATACTTAACATTTAGAAAAAATCCATCCAACAATATCAATAACCTTTAGTTATGATTTCAATTTAAAGTTAGAAATGTTGTAATTCAACCATCATATTATGATATTAATTTACATTCAAACGCTAAAAAAATATATCTTTATTAATTAAACGAAAGAAGGTACTGACCTTCTAGTGCACAACAACGAAGGTTTGAAGCAGATAATGATGATGGAAGTTATAAACAATAAGAATGATGTTGTAGGAGAAGGTTTGAAGCAAAGCAACGATTGAAAATAAGTGTGAGCCACAGATTCATGGATGAATCGTATATGTATGTCATAATTTGAATCTGATTTTTGGTATTAATGGTTTCCTAATAAAAATGGATTTTATATTAATGGTTTACTAATATAAACAAATTTATATTAATGGTTGATATTTAATGCCTTAATTGAAATGTTTTTTGTAATATGTTTTTAATGTTGACCATTTTAAAACCTTTATAACCGGAAATTCAAGATTTAAAATATAGGAAATTTTTATTAGAATTAAATACATTCTATTTCAATGGATTTAAGTTAATTTTGTTTGACAATTAGAAAGCTTTTATTGGAATTAAATATATTTCATTTGGAGAAGATGTTGTCATCAATTTGATCTAAGGGAGGAAAACATAGGATTGAAATACAATCAATGGCCTAGATTGTTTTAATATATATTAAAGATAACAAAATTATTGATATGTTTATTTAATGAGTTTTTAAAAAAAGAAAAAAACTGAACAGGTTTGAATTTTGAAACCAAAAAACTATAAATAAGAGAGTTAAATTATGAACAATATTAATTAGGGTAAATGATGGCATAGACCGTCAAAAGATGGAGATGCTTGCTTTTGAGATTTGTGTGAAGCCAAAACACAGGTATGATAATTAGAGATGTAGGGAAGAGACAATACTCAAATTCTAAGAATGCATGAGCAAAAAGGAACCAACTTATGGTGTTACATTCTGTTATGAACACACAAAACATCAATTGAAGCACAACCATTGACATGAGGACGAAGAGGATTAGGGAATTATGGTTTAAGAGAAAAAAAATAGAGGAGAAAGATGGGGCAGCTATTCATGTTTTTGACAAAATTTGTGGAGAAACCGATACCTAATATATAAATAGAATGATATGCTTCAATTGATAACATAATTGCTTATTTTAAAGATTCTATAATTAAATGTAATTGTGCTCGAATTGTGAAATATATTTTAGAAAGTATGATAGATTCTATAATTAAAGATTTTATAATTAAATGTAATTGTGATTGAAATGTAATTGCTAAATTTAAATATTCTATAATTAAATGTTTGAATTCTATTTGGAGAAGATGATGTCAGCAATTTGATCTAAGGGTGGAAATCATATGATTGAAATACAATCAAGGGTCATGATTGCTTCATTGGTGAATTAATGGTTCTCTTTTAATAATATTTAGAGATTTTGTATTGCTATTGAAATCAATCTCATATTGTCATACATACCATATGTATCTAAAACTGTGCGACATTTTGGTCTCTACTATTTTTAGTATTTCACTTGTCAAAATACTTGTGTTTTAAAATATCTTGCTACTTTAAATATACTTGTAAACAAAAAGAATCCAAAAAACTCTGTTTTAAAATTTATAAAAATAAAAAATAAAAAATAAAAAATCATTTAGTCATGTTTCGTAAAATAAATACTACTATTACTACTTAATTTATATCTATTAACTGTTGTTGTGTTGTTTTGACTTCGATAAGTAAGTAGTTGGATGGAAAGGATATAAGCATATAACATATGACTTAGGTTATTCTATTCAAAGTAATTATTGTGTTATTGTATGCATAAATGTGAGCCAATCAAATTTACTTATTTTAAGAAAGTGATTAATATATATTATTGAATTAAATATAATTGAAAAATATCATCTTAATTAATTACAAGGGTAATTTAGACAATTAATATAGATTTAATAAAGGAAAACTGCATTTTTTAAGGGATCATAAATTCTATTAATTTTAAAAATCCGATTTTATGAATTATAATTCTTTTAATTCGGCCATTCTGACAGAATATGTTTATGAGTATATTTAAAAATAAAAATATTCTTGAACCATAAATAATAAAAATATTCTTGAACTTATTTCTTGATCATGACTTTAAAAACTTCTTGTAGAATAACAAATTCTTGAACAATCAATTGAAGAATAAAAACAAAAAATACATTATTTCTTATAGAATACGGGTAACAATTGTTAAGAATTACATTTATTGTTAAAGAATAAAACTAAAAAAACTTTCAAAACGGGAAAGAAAACATCAAAATCTAACGACACTAATACATTCTAAAAGAATAATGTTGCTTAGAATCACTTTCAATTTTGTGGTCCGTTCTTCAAGCATCAACTTCTGTGATTCCAACAGAATTGGAATTCGTGATTCCATTCTAACAGGATTGGAGTTCGTGATTTCATTCCAATAGAATTGATGGCTATACGACTTGAGTTAGTTGTTCGACTTGGTCCACATCATATATTTAGGAGATTATCGGCATGAAAGCTCCATGAAAACCATAAGGCACTCAATATGGCAAGGTAATAATTGCAACTGGCTCACTGGTAAACTTCTATGCATCTACTAGGATAACTTGTGAAATTAAGCCAATTTGTGTCCCATTGATATCCAAGAACCATTAGTCCAATCTGCTTCACAAGAATATCTATACATGTAATAAGAGATTGATATAAACTTACCCGAGATATATTCAAATGTTCATCATGTACAAACGAGATCACCCGGCCATCATCTTATTCAAGACCATCTGGCTTCGGCACAAACACAGCACTTGAACATAATGTGTTTTTTGGGAACCTATTGAACATAAGCTACTGAATCAAACAATTCTACATGAAAGGTTTTGTTAATACCAAATTTATTGAAGGTCAATTTCAGGCAGATTTAGGTTTAGGGACGATCATGAGGAAAATTTGATCGACGCCATGAAGATGATAATGATATGAAACAATCTCAGGAAAACCCTAGCTTGAACAAATAAGAAGGAAAGCATGATTGAGAAAGCGTGTATGAATACCTTTGAGCAACGAGAGAGAGTGCGCGATCAGAGTATGGGTGAACCAAAACCTTTGTATCGACTTCAAACTTTGCATTCTTCATTTTCCTGAAACTTTCCAAGCCTAACTTTGTATTACACTGGCCATAATCAAGAATGGGGATAAGAGGGACCTGCAATTGAATCAAATTAGGCATTCTTTTAAACCTCAATCTCCTCCAGAGTATTGAATTCGCAGTCGGTAGTGTGATAATAGGAGCGAATGAAATCGGGTTTGGAATTTAACTGGATTGATCTAAGGATATTCGCCATTGAATGGTCAAACAGAAAAGTCAAAATTGAGATATTACAAACTTCTTACCTGCGAACGATCTAAGATTCGGAGTTGAAAATCTGGGCTTGCACTCATGTCCTCAATGAACGTCAAATGTGAACCTATGCTCGGAACCGATTGTTCGCTGTTGATATGTTCGGAGATTGAAATTGTTTGATTCGGAGTAAACGTACTCACAATCGAAACTGCGAATGGATTTAAAATCGGAGTTCCTGTCGGCTTGGAGGGTGAGAGTTACAACCGATTGTTCGCTGTTGGTATGTTAGGAGATTGAAATTGTGATAGGGTTTTCGCAGACAGAGAAGGCGTCAGAGGTGGGCGACATTGGTGGATGAAGGCGACGAGTGGTGGAGGACCGTCGGTGATGACGGTAATTATGGTTGTGTTGTGCCCTTCAACATCGGCAGTAATGGTGCTGAGATTGAATAAGTGGTGGTTTTAAAAAGCCGATGGAAAAATAGGTAGCTGAAGTCAATGGTTACCATAACTATATGATATTATTTGTGGAAACTAATTATCAAATTACATATTTACCCTTATTTATTTTTATTTTAAATTTTGATTGGCCCACATTTATGCATACAATAACACAATAATTACTTTAAACACCTGAACCTAGCTCTATAACATATAGGGTTAAATTAAAAAGTATATAACATAATTATCATCATATAATCAATTATTATGATTATTTTGTTTTAATTAATAAAAACTTGTATTTTTTACTATTATGAAAATCTTAAGTAAAATAGAGTAAAATATATATATTAAAGAGAACATTAAAATAACTTTTACATCAATCAAATAATAATGGAATAGTAAATTTGTTACATTAAATATCATATACTTTTTTTTTAATATTTAAATATTCTTGCCATATTCTGTTATCATCTTGGGGATCCAACCAGCTACCGGCGACTATTAACCAGTTAAATCGGTGGCGTTAGCTGTTGAATTAGTGATTAAATGGCAGAATTCATGGTCATCGGAGTGATCGGCGCTGGCCAAATGGGCTCCGGGATAGCTCAGCTGGCGGCGGTTGCCGGTGCCGATGTACGACTACTCGACAAAGACGCTGAAGCTCTCCTCACTGCCAAGAGGTCTATCTCCGACTCAGTTCAACGTTTTGTCTCCAAAGGTCAACTTTCCAAGGTCTCCTATCCTATCTCTGCGCTGTCTCTGTGATCCTAAGCTTCGTCATATTTATAGCTATATATCATCCTAAGCCCCAAAATTTGTTCAGAATTCTGCTCTGCGATTTAGTTGATAATAATATAGTTATAGGGTTTCGAATTTGTTGATTCAATGATTATCTACGTATGGTAGCACTCCTTCCGTTTAATCTTCAAAATTCTGCCATGGACTTCTCAATCACTGTAATTGGGGTTTTTGTGTTACGATTGCACATATCGGCTCAATGCTCTCTAAATTTGATAGCAATTCCTTGGGATAATCAAATGGATAATATTTCGAATTACAATATGATCTCGCATGCAGTAACCATTAAAATTTATGCAAAATCTACTTGGCAGGAGAGAGGGACTGATGCTGTAGCTCGTGTGAAATATACTTCGAATCTAGAAGATCTTCAATCTGCAGATATTGTAATCGAAGCCATCGTTGAATCTGAGGATGTGAAGAAGAAACTGTTTGCAGAATTAGATAAGATTGTTAAAGTGTCTGCCATTTTAGCATCAAATACAAGCTCCATCTCCATTACTCGTTTGGCATCTGCAACAAAACGACCACACCAGGTTTCTTTTAGCCTATAATGATTTTGTGCATCATTCTCTATGTAAATACTGATATTGGGAAGGGCATTTCCGTCCTTTCAGGTGATTGGCATGCATTTCATGAACCCTCCTCCCATCATGAAACTTGTTGAGATTATCCGAGGTGCACAAACATCAGATGAGACTTACAACAAGACAAAAACTTTGGCTGAGAGGTATTTACTGTTTACATATAGTGGTTAAACCTTTTTTAAAGTTTTTGGGTTCTGATTTTAACCTTTTAATGTTTAACAATGACAGATTCGGAAAGACTGTTGTTTGCTCAAAGGATTATTCGGGTTTCATAGTGAATCGAATCTTAATGCCAATGATTAATGAAGCCTTTTACACACTTTACACTGGTGTTGCAACAAAAGAAGACATAGATGCAGGAATGAAACTAGGAACCAATCAACCAATGGGGCCTCTACAGCTGGCAGATTTTATTGGGCTCGATGTATGCTTATCAATACTCAAAGTTCTACACAATGGACTAGGCGACACTAAATATGCACCATGCCCTCTTCTTGTACAGTATGTTGATGCAGGTCGCTTAGGTAAAAAACGAGGTGTTGGCGTTTATGACTATACTAAATTTCCTAAACAGCCCTCCCGAATTTAATCTATTTACGGGAATACCCTTTTATGTAACACTCTAGTCTCTAGTAGTAGTGTAAGACTATTTGTAAGCAATAAAGTTTTCAATTCCATAATGAAAGGCTTTTGTTTCAAGAATGTACGTGTACCCCACAAGGTGAAAAACAGGCTGTGAGTTAATGGGTGGTAGTCCCCACTTTTGAGACTGAAAGTGACAGAAATGGAATCCAATCATATAATTGTAGTGTTAAAAACAGATCTAAATCTGAAAATTTTGGGGATTGGGTAGAGATAGAGAATAGAGGTAAAGATGAAGTTTTTGTTTCAGTGTCCATGTTGTTCTTGCTTTTGTTTTGTGAAGCCTAAAAAGGGGAAACCTAAAGAGAAACCAGTGAAAGAAAGTAAACCCAAGGAGAAAGAGAGTAAACCTGTTGAGAAAGAAAGCAAGGATGAAAAGAAGACAGAGTGAAGTGAAGTGAAGTGCATTTTGTTGAAATGTGATATGGGTATGTATGTTATAATAGTAGTATATGTTAAATAATTGTTGCATCATCTTCATCTTGGTGTGGTGGGTAGATTAAATTTGAATGTATTAATTGGTGTAGGATCTTGTTTAAAGTAGCTGGGTCCTAGATGAAGTGTGTTTACAAGATAGATAGATGTCATGAATGATGATATCTGTTTGTATTCCAGGTTATGAGTTTTCATGATTTTCTCATGTGTTCCAGTCTTCCAGATTATGATCAAGATCTTGTGTTCATGAATCATGATTGATTAGTTTCGGGAATTTCATGACTCATCAGGGTTATTATTTAGTGGTATTTTGCTACTAATTGGAATGGCTTTTTGTAATGCTGCTTTCTTATTTGTTAAGAGGTGTATTATGGGTTGGGTAACGTGCTAAGCGAGAGTTCATTTATTATTAAAAAAAAAAAAAAACACGTAATTTTTTGTAGCAATAAACATCTTTTGTTCAACTTCTTGTATGAACGTGTAGTAGATTGGGAATTTGGGATAACATTTTTTACTAATCAGATTAAAAAATAGTATTCCTCGAAAAAATATATATGTTTTTATGGCAATTTTACCTATTTTCCTATGGATAAAAAGTTATTTAGCTTAAATTAACAATTACTAAATAAAACTGCTTATGTAATGTAAACGAGGTTTCCCCTGTTTACTTTTTTGAGTTTTCATGAGGCGCTTTTGCATACATGAAAGTCAAATTTGTTTTCAGTGTAAAGGATAAAGTAATGACCTGGAAGCTGATCCAGCAACTTTTTTTTTTTTTTTTAAGTTTATAAATAAAAATATGATTGTAAAAAATAGTTATTAAGATAATAATAGTTTCGGTAAATTAATTTAGGTGATGGTAAATGTTTAAATGTATTTTGGCAACTTTCAGTCCAACCGGAGCATTTGATTTTGACCCGTTCGGGTGGGGTTCAAAGTACATTTGTACAAAACAAAGAATACAATTTTTGTCTATCTTTCTATTGAATAAAGAAATTAAGAAAAACGATGATTAGACTACGAATATATAGACATATATATATAGTAACTGAGGTATGCAACTAAAGAAACTCAAAAACATTTATAAAAAAAAAAAAAAAAAAAAAATAGACTTTTTATCTTATTTATCAATACTTTGAGATATTTGCCCATTTATTATCCGTCAACTTGAATGTGGTTGTTGAAAACCAAAGTCTCGTATATAATGCTCAAATATTTTGTTGTATTAACAATTGTCATGTTGCACACATTTAACAGTTAAATCATCCAGACTATTGTGAAGTCTAATAGACTGAACTCAAATGATGTCAATGTAATTGAAAACCTTCTTATAAAATTAATAAAACACATAAACTTGTATCTTTTTATTTATCCGCATTTTTAATTGATATTCAAACAACACTTTTCATTCATTGCACAGCTTTTGCATCATTCGCAAACATCTCAGATCTTTTGTCAACATAAAATAAAAAACACATTGATAAAAAAGACCTAACAATTCAAGTGGCAATTTCAACCGGTATATATCAATTCAAAACAAGAAAAAATCTCTTAAAAAACACGTGTTGAAAATCATAGTAAACCAACATTTGCTCACGAGATGAAAGCAAGAAAAAAAGTCCATCCCTAAAGCGATCTTGCGACAGCCTTAAATTCAGTCAAACAAGAGTCTAATATCTTCTGACGTTTCTTAAGAGACTCTCGTTCATTCTCAAGTATATCAATCGCACCCGGTGCCACAAACATATCCATAAACTTCTCATCATTCACCCCAAATAAATCCACTCCTAACGCCACCATAAGCCGCTCACGACTGCACACACACACACAAAAATCATTATATTTTTTGTATTATTTTAATTTAAAAAAATGATGAAAAAAACAATAACATACCATGGGGTTAAAAACCCTGAATTCAAAGCTGACGTCACACTCCGCTCCACCAACACTTGACGTATCCTCGCAAAATGTTGTGCAGCCGAACAACATATCTCGTTATACGTCGTCGTGCCGCCGTTTTGCCCTAACAAGTTTCCCAACACTTTACCGTTACCTTGATTAATCTGAATCCTAGGATGCCGTTTCCTCCCGCCGCCGCCTTCCAAAAAGTTACCGTTTTCCTTTTTCACAACGTAATTCCCATCACGTGGTTGGTCAGGTGACGGCGTCTCCGGCACAGTCATGGCAGAAGCCTTTCCTTCTCCCGCCGCTTTCACAAGCTTTCCCGGTGTTGTCTCCCGATCGTTATTTTCCGGCGGAATGTTTTCTTGATCTGACAAATCAAGCGACATTGAAGTAACCGATGTCTGGTTTCTGTAACTGGAGTTTGCACTAAATAACAGATCACTCTCATAGCATACTTGTGAATACGAACTTGTAACAGAATCCAAATGATGCCTAACGAGCTGTTTGCATTGTTTTGCAAGATCTTTTATAAAACAATTGTAAGATCGCCTTAATGCAGCGTGGAAACCCACGTACCCATCCATGTCACCACTTTTCTTCCCATCTAAAATTTTGTAACACATAAATAAAATCAAAATGAAACCCAAGAAATTGAAAATAAATAAAATACTTACAATCACAGTCAAAATGTTGACGTTGGTTTTTCTCCATTGCAAGATCGAAGAGATTTTTCAACACGAAAGCAAGGCGTTCACAAGCTGTGTCAAGAAGAGGGGCAAGCCATGACCTGGCAGCAGCACGTGCAATCTCAGCAGCTGCTTCTGAAATTCCCTTTCCACCCCCTCTTCCCGCATGTGCAAGTATTATATTTGCAACTTTCTCCCTTGAAACAGGAGGGCATTCAACGGAATAAGCAGCACATCGAAACTCATGCATCACTCTTTCAAAAGCAGCACCTCCGTATAAACGAAGGGTAGCATTAGGTGGTTTTATTTCCGATATTACCCCTGGCCAGTTTCCCATTCCGCTTTCTGATTTCTCCTCCTCTGTTGTTCTTCCCCACTGTTCAGGATCAGGGTCTGCAGCTCCATCTATCAATGCCCCTACTTGGTTGCAGATTGAAGATGCAAACATCATTGATGATCTTCTGAGGTGAGCGACATCAGAAGTTGCTTGGATTTTGGAATCCATGGAGGTTAATTGAGCTGTGACTTCACTGCAACGTTGTTCAAGTAAAGCTAATGTTGCAGGAGTGGCTTCTTTGTATCTTTTTTGAAGCTCGGATTCTAAATAATCTCTGAGACAACCGAAACCAATGTGGGATTTATACTTTTCTTCATCGTATCCACCTTTAACATTTTGTTGTAAATGGCGTATAACATCTGCATCCACTTGTGAGATTTGTCTGCGAAATTCTTCATTTGAAACTGTGGTTCTTTCTTTTGGTAGGGCTACAAAAAATGGGTGTATGTTGTCTCCAAGGTAGCCACTTGCACTTAAGTACCTGTCCACTTCCCATTTATCAGTAAATTCCTTAAGGCGATTATCAAATTTGGAGACAACAATTAATGTTCTTCTGAAAGTTGGATCAATGTCACGAATGGCATCCAACCATAAAGATGAGCACCACTCCACACTACTTTGTTGAAGGAATACAAGGATTCTGTGAGGTGGACTAGCTAGAGATTTCACCATTGACAGAATTTCTTCTGGTGTGGTCTCAGGTTCACCCTTTTTAGCCTGCCAAAATGTAGTTCAGATTACTATAAAGTATAAATATGGATGAGTACACTAGTGTCTGATGATGTAAAGTACCTTGAGAACAAACCCTGGAGTATCAATGATGGTGAGATTAGGGCAATGTGCATATTCAGCTCTCATGACAATCGGTTTAGGAGAGACAGCAGTTTGAGTCTTCTTCAACAGAGCTTCTGTTCGTGATTTAATGGTATCTGCAATTGCTGATGCTAGAACAATTGGACTTCCGTATTCCTCTGAATTCTCCTCCTGTCATTACTATAAACAATCAGTATCATAATTCATACATAGACTCTAAACTGATTGTCAATTTCAATACGCATCAAAACACTCCCTATTCCCTAATACCATGGTCCGCCTTCGAGAGAAATAAGAGCTGGTTCTGATCCAATAGTTTGTTCTTGCTAAACCCTAACTACGTATTCACTTCATTGTCGTCACTTTTTTAGAAACTATAAACCCTAATTAAGCATTAATAAATTCAATTCCGTCATATAATAAGAGTGTATGAGTAGGTAAAACAGGAATTGACCTGAAACCGGCACCTAGGATCAAGAGCAGTAGGATCATGGACCATCTGGAGTATGAGAGGCCTGCGGGTACCCATTTCGACCTCGCGTACATTGAATCGGAATCCAAGTAGCGCTTCCAGAAGAGAGCTCTTGCCATCTGACTGACCTCCGAGCGCTACAATCTCCGGAATCGGGAGTTTTTCGCCAAATGCGACGGCGGCAGACTGAAGGCGGTTATAAGCGTCGAACCGGGACTTAGTGGAAGACGAAGACGATGAGAAGGTGGTTTGGTGGTTGTGTTTTCTAGCAGACGAAGAAACTTTATCGTTCATTGGTGTTTTACTAGGTGTTTTCAAGAAGTTGTCGGAGGTCGCCATTGCAGATAGAGGAGATAACCAGCGAGAGAAAGGAGGGATGATTCAATTTGAAATTTTGAATCTGGGAAATGAAACCCGCTGACCGTTTTGATGAATTTGGGGTTCCTTCGATTTCGGATTGGAAAAAGAATGGTAAAATAAAATTATAAAAATGCTAAATTACATACAAAAAAAAAAAAAACTATTTTATATTTAATATTTTTTAAAATCATTATTATTATATTTTTTATAGAAACCAACAATTTAATTTACTTCCAATCATATTTTCCAAATGGACTACTATAAACAAGAGGACAACATCTTATCCCTTGGCTATAAGCATTTTGGTTTTTCATAGAAATCATTGATTCTATAATTATGTTTTTTACATTTTAATCATTGATAACTTGGGAAAACTAATTTTAGGACACTAAAAAAATATGAAATGGAAATTAAACTGTTTTTGGAAAATAAAAACATGAGAGTGTGTGTGTGTTTCACCCATAGTTGTTAATTCCCGATTTTCATCTTAAAATCTTATGATTTAAAGTTTTTACAAACGAAAAATATTGTCGATCATACTATGATCTATCTGAAGCAAGATCTATATTGAGATATTTAGGATACTAACTATGATCTTAAGATATGAACCGTCCTTTCGAGCTTTATCAGTTAAAATACGTTTTTATCTCGAGTACACGATTAAGCCCATTTGAACTTTATCAATTAAAATACGTCTTTATCTCGAGAAACATGTCAATATAGAAGTGTCTTAGAGCCTCGTTTTATGATTGAAATCCGAAAGAATTATAAAAGATCTTTATTTATTTATTTATTTACCGATCTTGGTTTATGTGATTTTCCATTTAATCTCATTTTTGACAATATTAGAGGTTAAAGTTAAATTATACTAATAAGGAGATTTTTATATTAAAAAGAAGTTTTTATTGTAAAATGTAAATATATAGCTTTTATAAGATATAAGAAGAAAATTGTTTTAATCTTAAAAAAGGTTTTAAAGAATCTTTTTTTTTTGAAAGTTTGCTTACATTAAAATATTATGTATGAGACCCGTATACTATTCGGGTTGATTAAAACATTAAGCATTTTAAAGTAAAATTTCAAAATAAATACGATCGAAATCATGAATAAGTAAGTACTTTAATACTTGCAAATTCAAATTAATTAGGATAGAGTGAAGGAATTAAGTTGCTCTCAAGATCAAGCTAAATGAAAACTCCACCGGCATAAGTTATTAGCTTGGTGTACTATATTGTTGACAAAGTAAAAATAACCTAGAAACTTTAAAATGAAAGTGAGATGTTGTGATGGGTTAAAAATGAAAGTAGGCTGGTATTATGGGTTAAAATGAAAATATGATGATATGATGGGTTAAAAGTAAAAGTATGTTGCCATTATGGTTAAAAACAAAATGACGATGCTAAAAAAAATCTAGATAAAACAAAGAAAGATACACATTTCCCATAATATTTAGTTGGTTTACATAAATTTTAAAAAAAAAATACAGTTGATATAAATGGATATCTTCAAATCTTTCATTCCGTTTAGGAACAAAGATCAATATAACTTTATAACAATATTCAAAAGCAAATGAAAATACAATCGATTTGTTCCGAATAATTGAAAATATGGAATCCGAGCTACCTCCGGATTCAGAATTATTAAATTAGTTTTAATGCTTCTCAAAGCTGGTACCATCCATAATCATCATTTTCCGAGCACATATAAAAAAACATGTCATCTGATTAGTAAAGACTAAATCCAACTATTTGAAACTACCATAACTAGTAATGGTGTAAGTAAAAGTTTCGATAAAATGAATCTGGGATGAGAATTGCAATTGTGAGCCTGGATAACCACTGGAAGACAAATGGTTGCACCACACATAGCACTGATGAGCCTTTGCCTCTCCTCCGTCTCACCAACTGTAAGGATATATGAGAATATACCATGTTTCTGATGAGCAAACAAAAGGAGACGGTCACCAGCAAGTAAATAGTTCATATATTTTATTATTTTTTACACTAAAATGGTGAACTTTGCTCCACCACATCATAAAGGAATGATGGAAAAGGCTAAAAATACATGAGAACATCAACTCGGTAGCCATTATTTTTATCCAATTCATTAATTAATTTCTTTCGGTTTTCTATATTACATATTCCCCAATACATTCCATCAAACACCTATTAGGCATCATCACACATTTCTCTTCGTTTAATAATTTCTATCATGACATGTTCACTTAGGCATCTTCATCAGTGTGCACGGTAGCAAGAAATAACATAATATCAATACATTTTAATTTGTTGTTATTAATATAAATACTATCGTATATCAATATTGAACTTATTGTTGACATCTATAAAGTGACTCATTTGATTCCAAACTTATTGTTGACATCTATAAAGTGACTCATTTGATTCCACGGTGAACTGTGAGAAGGAGGAAGTATGTAGAAATCAGCAATCCTAGAAGCTTGAAACTAGGATTACTGGAAAGCAAGCAAGAACCCGAAATGGTGAATTGAGAAAACAGGGATAATATTAGGGAGGTTGAAAACAAAGGAGATAATTTAACTTAAAATTTTTATGTGTAGAGAGGGAAAGAGGGAGAGATAAAGTGTATCTATTATTGGGTAAGTATGAGTGTGGGGAAGAAACGTGGTAGGATCTTCAAAACGATTCTCAAGTATGACCGAATAACTACCAAAAAAAAAACGAAATTATAAGTGTAAACAAACATTAACAAAACTATAGATTAAAGTATGCAACAAATGGGAAGAAAATCATAAAATGTTTAAATGTTTGTAATGAACTTTCTTGTGATTAAAGATGGTGGTTGTCGGATACTCAAATGAGATTTGATGAAGATAGTAGTGGATATCGTTTTTTTAGGACTTACAATAAGGAATGAGAGAAGTCATATTAATTGGAATTGACCAGCACATTTGTATCATTTAAAACATTTAATACATTCCATATTTAATTTAAATATAAGTATTATGTGGATTTTTAATTTATAAGTTTGAAAAATCCTATAATCTGACATGTGTATTTTATTAATCTCAAAAAAACTATAAAATTACATGTAGCAAATGCATAGAAACACGACATGTGGCACAAATCATTTTCATTTATTAGGATTGATGGATCTAAGAACATAAAAAATACCAATGGATAATTAAAGGAACACCATTTGATATGGGCCACCCATTTATGGGTTGAATTAATCTCGACCATCAAAGTAGTTTAATGACTTGGTCAACCGATTGAGTTGGTATAAATAGCCATATTAGTGTCATTTTTACCAACTGTTTGCAACCCTAAATGACTTGGATAATTCACATTTTTCACTCAAAAAGTGTGCAAAATGACTTAGAGATTTCATTATATATACACACAGTTTAAGTTCTACATCTAAGGAACTTGTATATGCAGTGGCAACAACACCTACTTTTTATGTTGGAAAATTTTTTGATATTTTTTACTTATTTTTCCTACACCGGCAACGTCTACTTCAACCTCGACAACACCTAGTATGTATTATGTGTCTGCCGCTGTGTATATGTATTACATTATAGATTTAATTATGCATGCAGCTGGTTATTAATGGGAAACTGATTCTCAATGAAAAATCATTATTATGAACGCACTATGAATATAGATAGGACTCGACATTTGAATTATGTAATAAGTTTATTAAGTGGGTTTTGTTAGTTTAACCAACTAATTTATTGGCCAACTTATCACCTATGATGACTATTATCAAGATATATGTACTCAATGATTAAGTCCATTTGAGATTTATCAGTTAAAATACATTTTTATCTGAAGTACATGTACTCAAGCTTTATCAGTTAAAATGCGTCTATCTCGAGAAACATGTCAATGTAGAAGTGCCGCAGAGACTCAATTTATGATTGAAGTCCAAAAGACTTATACAATACCTTTTATTTATTTGTTTATGTTGGTATTTATGCTTTGACACGTGTGTTAAGCTGATTAGTGAATTAGTTAGGCAGTTAGATGATTAATTTTTCTGTTTAGTTTGAACTTTGTATATAATCTGTTTTGTAACTCTTCTTACATAATCAATACAGTGAAAATGTTCAAACATATTCTTTTTCTCTCTGTACTTCATTTCATCATTCAGGAATCAACATGGTATCAGAGCAATTCTGATTCCTGATTCATCTTATCAATTCTGCATTCAATCTATCATCTGTTCATTCTTTTGATTTGATCAATTTCACAATCATGGCTACTTCAAATGATGGAACGAACTCAACTTCAAATTCGAATTCAAGTCCAAATTTCTCCGATCCTCTTTACCTTCATCCGTCTGATCATCCCGGCATGTTGTTAGTTTCTAAACAATTTGATGGTTATAACTTTGGATCGTGGAGCAAAGGAATGTTAATTTCGTTGTCTGCGAAGAACAAAATTGGGTTCGTAAATGGTAAAATCCCCAAACCAGACAACAACGATCCAAAATTCGAATTGTGGCAGAGATGCAATGACATGGTTACGTCTTGGATTCTCAATGTTCTTGCTAGCGATATCGCTGAATCTGTCTTGTATTCATGTTCTGCTTACGAGATTTGGAATGACCTAGAAGAACGATTTGGTCAATCTAATGGAGCGAAACTCTATCAACTTCAAAAGGAAATCTCAGACTTATCTCAAGGTACTAATGATCTTGCTACACATTTCACTAAACTCAAGAAAATTGGGATGAATTAAGTGCGCTTTCTTCTATTCCTTCTTGTACCTGTGGAGCTGCACACAAATTACGTGAATTAGAGCAGAATCAAAAACTCATTAAGTTCCTTATGGGACTTAAGAGCGATTATGGTTCAATTCGAGGTTCTATCTTGATGATGAAACCTCTTCCATCTGTTGCACAAGCTTATGCATTACTAATTCAAGATGAAAAACAGAGAGAAGTTCAATCTTCATCTGTTTTTATGAATGATTCTGCCTCAATGAATGTAAGAATGGGAGGTTATCAAACTAAACCAAATCCTCCTTAATAAATGAAGGTTT